ATATCAGCATATGAAAATATATTTGAGTATATTATCAGAAATGGATAACAAAACTGCTATTTTCAATGACTACTTATTTTTGTCCAGCTTTAACATCGGTATCGATATCGGTTATCAGCTACATGAGTTTTAAAATATCGGCATATCGGATATCGGCCAAAATCCCAATATCGTGCATCCCTAGGTTGAACCTTTGAACACATCATAGAGTTCCTTTCAAACCTTCTGAAAATGGGGAAAATTGGCACAGCTGGCGAGACATGGCCAGTCACCGAAACGTGCCATGCAAGAGGGAAAATAATTCATTGAACTGGCAGAGAGGCTCATTTTAAAAAGTTGTTAGAAAATCAGAAAATTCCTTCAGCCTCAGTTATGTGCTTCTATGTATTGACACTGAAAACTCAATAAAACACAACAAAGTTTATAGTTGTATCATTAAAAATATGAAAAGCTTTCAGGTGTGCTAATGCTTGTTAATATTGTGTGAAGTCCGCTTCCGAAACACCTCATCCTCTCACTTTGATTGGAAACTTTAGCTGCGAATGATTAATGCTGGAAAGACAGTTTGCAGGTTTTTGATTCTCTAAAGAAAATATTTATCATCCCCAAATTTACCCGTCACACAAACGTAAAGATTGAGGGTTAGATATCACATTTCTAAAGAGAAAAAAAAAAGCTAATGGCTGATTTAGATGCACCCTGACCCTCTTTAACACCAGTCAAAATGAACAGTCTTGGACTTAATTTACAAATGGCTTTTCAGCAGACAGCCAGTTACCTTCATGCATTGATAATTTCATATTAAGACCAGCACCTCTCTTGAAAAGATCTTGGCTCAGTTTTAGTTGGGCATAAGATATTTTGCTGGCAATTGGTGTTTAAGCAGCTGATGGTCAGATTTTGTGTCAGAGGAGAGGGCGATCTGAAAGACCTGCAGCCTAAAGTCAGGAGGAGCGATATGAGAGCAGAAATAAATCAGATAAACCCTGCAGAACATTTAGTATTTGTAGTTGCCTCTGTATAACAGTATTTAAGATTTACAAGTGCTCTGCACTGTTCTCAATGTTCTGCATGCGAGTGATACTGAAAGCGTGGGTTAATGGCACAAGACTGGACAGAGGCCTTGATGTGTTCATTAAATTGTGTGAAAAATGTCATCAACGAAGCATACAGCCCCTTTGGTTTCAAAGCAATTGTTGGAAGAAAAAACAGCCAAAAAATATGTTTTTGGAAGAAGGTGCAACGTGACCAAAGTATGCAATTTTGTCCTACTTGGATGTGAGGGACCGAGCCAAAATATAAGAGAAGCACAGGGAAGTCATTGATGAAAAAATGGTAACAAATTTATTTAGCAGAAAATAAAGTTCAAAGTTCAAACAAGACTGGGCCCATCAAGGAAAACAAATGACAAAAAGCAGCATAATCCAAACCTGACAAAGAAAAGACCTACCTAGCTGACACACAAGGGAAACATATATATATATATATACTGGTTGATCAGATCATTTTGAAACAAGAAGGAAACATAAAATACATTTTCCTAAACAAAACTACAACAAAAGACAAAAAGATAAGCAACATACTAAATCAGCAACCTATGAGGAAGAGGACTTAAATATTAAACTTTCCAAATGTAATTATAGAAAACAAAACCAAATACAGAAACGTAAACCCTTCCTACACCCCTTCTAAATGTAAATGGAAGAGTCCAACTAGGCCTCCATGTCAATGAGGAGATACTTTGCAGCTGGGGTCTCCTTTCCTTTACTGGCTTTACTCATAACAGCCTCCCAGGAACCGGCAACTCAGACGAAAAATATATTAATGTACAGAAAACCAAACAAGCAAGAAATGACAAAATGAGTCGACTAAATGTGTTCACCTAAAAAGTTAACCAATGCCAAATCAAAGTAGAAAAAAATGAAATGCAGCACAGTAAAATAGAAGATTTAATGAAATAATTACCAGACCATTTGTTGTGTGGTTGCACATGCAGCCATCACATTAGAAAAATACAATGTGAGACAAAAAAAACAAAGATTTCCATCACCCTGAACGCACCATCCCAACCATGGATCACGGCTGTTTGGATTCAGCAGGGAGCAGAAAGCGAATCGGGTTTATTTTAAAAAAATACGGCGGTGGATTTTAGAAGCGACAATGAGAAGGTTTAGTTTTTTTGTGTTGGCATCATAAGGTATTGTTGCAATAGCATAAATTTGATTATAAAAATATCATTGAACCTCTTAATGCCAAAGTAACAAAAACGAAATTTTTATTTGCATCATCAAACATGCAAAGCATTATAAAAAAGGTTAATTTCAAATCACAGTGGGATTCCATTTTTGGGCACGTTACTTTTAACGAGAGTAACCAATTTTCTTACTCTATCCCTGTAGGCGGCGGTAATACTTTGCTGCCAGACTAAAGGAAAGTGAGATCTATGTGAGCTAGAAGTTGGCATCTTTCCACCTGTGACAGTGGACTCAATACAAAAGAAAACACGATGGAAATGATGAAACCTTGGAGAAAAGGAAAATAAAAATGCAATAATAGTCTGAAAAAAACAAAATTAGGGGGTGCAAAATGCAGCCTTAATATAAACTAAGATGGGAACAGGCTGCATTGATTTATCTAACAATGTTTAATAGTTAAACTATGCTAATTTAGCAATGATGTACCCATGTAGCACAAGTTTTTATAAAAAATAAAGTATTTGCATAATTTACATCACTTCCTATTTTTTCTTCTGCTGTTGCAGGATGTTGAGGTGATCTTCAGCAACATCTTGGACATCCATGAGCTGACCGTGAAGCTCCTGGGACTTATTGAGGACGCAGTGGAGATGACTGCTGATGGCAGTCCTCATCCCCTGGTGGGCAGCTGCTTTGAAGACCTGGCCGAGGTAACTTGTGTGGTTTTAAGGGTGGAATCAGCTAAGCTACATACATTCAAATGTGTGTGGTCATCATGACCCCTAAATGTGAAACTGCCAAATCAGCAAAGACTAACCAGCAAAAAATCTGTTTGCTCTTTCTTTCATATACGCTTTGATACTTATGGGATATAGTTTTCCCAATGAAAAAAAAATCCTAATTTAGGAAACTGTTAGCTTCAGATTTTAAATTATAAGTAGAAAAAAAACATGAAACAGCTGACAAATTAAGCTGGTTTAAGTAGGTTATTAATTACTTAAATAAAAAGTAATTATGACCTTAAAAGCGGAGCTAAACCTGATTGAAAAATAGCCCCACCACAGAACAGAAAATAAAAAATGTGTTCAGGGCCAAGAAACCTTAAGGGGCAGGGCTAATTTTTGGGAGGAGCAGTGGGGGTTTATGGTCAGGATAGCTTAGCAAAACCTAGCTTAGCTTAGCCTTATTAGAGCAAAGAATAGATCATTTGAAGAGGAGGAATTTGAGTCTGTTTTGATCATTTAAACTCTTAAAATCTTTCCGTTTGTTTTGTAGGAGCAGGCATTCGACCCATACGAGACCCTGTCACAGGACATCCTTGGCAAGAAATTTAACGAGCACTTCCATGAAATGATGCAGAGACAAACCGTTCGCCAACACTTCGGGGTGAGATTTTGGTTGGAAATGAAAACTGTTGGGAAAATATTTTGCATAATTAAATTTACCTGCAACGATCTTTTCTGTTTAACTTGATTTGCCCTTCGTCAAAGCTGCAGTCTTCTTATGATGCTGTGATGCTGAGGCTTTTTAGGCATAGAAAAACTCTCCTGAGCACAAACTCCCTTACTGTACTTGCATCTTGAAGTTGCGTGCTACCCGCCATCGTTGATGCAGTGTTTTTCTGATCCGTCTTCCTGCTGCTGTTTTGAACTGAACCTGGGTAAAATATGGCTAGCAGGCAAGTCATGACACATTCAGCGTCCTGTGTACACTTTATTCTCCACCACTGTTTTTGTTTTATTTGGACATTCCTCAGGAGAAAAGCATTGAAATCGGCCCAGCGGGGTGCAGTTTGGCAGCCTTTGAAGATGAAATATTTGCTGCTGTTTTCTCAGGCCAAAAACTATTGTGGCTAAGTGAAGCATTGCATTGAGCTTTGTGTCCATTTACTGTAACAGTATTTACAAAACCAGACAATTCTCTGAGCTTTTTAACCAAGATGTCTACTTCTCATTACAAATATAGCCCTCTGTATCTTTGCATGCAGCAAAGCACTTATTGAAGCTAAAAAGAAAACAGCTGACGATGCGTACCTAAACAGTCCTGCACCTCAGATTGCGGCTTCGCTGTGTTTACTTGAGAACCACCAGTCAGACCCCAGTTAGATCAACACTGCAGCCACCGTACCCTGAATACTCACACCCCGTGTTTATTTTCACATAATCTTTGCTTGAGAGAAAGCGAGGAGTTAAAAATATCATTTATACTAAAATTGTATTGATGGTGATTTAAGAAAAACATTGTATCAGAGGCAAAGTTAATCTACTCAGTTCCTAACAAATATACGCTTTTTATTTGGTCAATTGCAAACACCAATCTTTTAATCGTTTATTGGGATTCTGAAAGGGCAAAATAGATTAATGCATGATACGAAAGTGGGGGTAAAGAGTGTCTGTTTTTATTGTATGAATAAATTAGGGCTGAAACTATTAGATTAATAGTGATTAATCAATTATTGATAATCGTCTACTAATTTAGTTATAATTTAATTAACTAAAACATGCCTTTAGATGACAGAGCGACCCAATTAGAGCAGTAATTATAGCAAAATTGTAAAAAAAAAAAATATATATATATATATATAAACATTTTGCATTTAAAATAAATACAAAAAATGTTTTCATCCGTCAATATGCTTTATCCAGAACTCCTGAAGTGGAAAAGTTTGAGTTTCAACTGGTTTAATTTCGTATAAAGTAGTCTTCAAGGAATGTTTGGCTCTCCGATTATTAATCGATTAATCAAAAAAATGACTCACTAGTTTGGTGACTTTTTAAGGCAAGTAGATGAAATGGTTTTAATCACAGTTAAAACATGAATATTTAGGGTTTTATTTGTAGAGAATTTTGAAAATGCTGTTTCTTTTCCTTCCACTTTCCACGTATCCACTGCTTTATGCCCCTCCCCTTTAACCACATTAAAACACACTGACGTTTTTAGTTGACTTAAAGCGAAATAAAACATTTTTTTAATCTTTTGGGCACCTAGATTGTGTTTCCCATGACTTAATTGTAACACTATATCAGACACTCAGGCTGACTGTGATCTTAAGATAATTTTTCTCAGCCTGTGTTTTTGAACATGATGATCATCTGTGGTGCCCTGTATACATGATCATGGCGGCTAACCCCGTCTCATCGTTTCTCCTCTTCATGGAATGACGTAAGGAAAGCAGCAAACTGATCTTTAGACCCTGATATAAGTGAATATAGCAGCTTTTGCTGTAACTGGAGGCAGTGACATCATCCCCCTCCCCCTAAATATATTGTCTCATTGCATATGCTGCTTTTTTTCCTCTTAAACTGGCCGCCTCTCTCCCTCCCTCCCTCCCTGGCCGATAGAAGGATATGTTTGTCGAGCTCTCAGCCCTTGCACTCGGCGCTGTCTGGTATTGTGGCTAAATTACATTGGCCTTTAAAAATAGAACAGTCAGGCACGCTGCTAGCCATTTTGCTCTTGAGGAGGAGAGTGGTTGGGTGCGAATGACCTGAAGCGCATCTCATATCAAAAATAAGCTGTGAATTATGATGTCAGACGACCAGAGATGACTCTAGGAGTTCTTCTACCTCTGTGTTACAGGAACATGTGCTCGGATATGCCGTGTTTTATCCAGCTGGAAGTTTAGGCTTATATTTTAACCTTCTTTACATTCGTGTAAAGTATGCATGCACTAACAGCAAGGTGTATTATGATGAGTGTTACTTGGTCTAATGAATACCAAGTGTTAAAGCATTTTTCAGTGAGTTTTTTAACTTCCGGAAGTTTTTTTAGCTTCTGTTTTGTACATTTTATCACCCTTTGCTCTTATAAACCTAAATAAGAATTAAAGTAGCTGCTTTCACATGTAACCTTGTTAGGGTTAAAAAAAAAAAAAAGATCCAGCTCCATGTATTAGTAATGGAAACATTAATCTGTGAAGCAGTGAAGCTGCTTATGGTAACTCTGGATGATCTGTAATGATCCAGCGCTCATGTGGAGTGAATCTTTAGAAAATTAAACTCTTACTCATTCCTTCCACAAATTAGGCCTTTTATATGGAGTGTTACAAATAGATGATCAATGCTAAATGCCTACATGCTAAATGCTATGAGTGGCAGGTAATCACCGTGAATACGCCGCCGTCTTTATCAAGAAAAGGGAAATGGTGGGCTTTGATGGGTAAAAAAATGGATGGAAAAACTATTAGACGCTGTAAATGGCTTCATACTGGAGCAGAGATTTCCGTTCCAGCAGCACAACAATCATAAACGTAGAGCCAGTCCTACTAGAGAACGCTTTAGATCCAGACATATTCATATGTTAGAATGGTCCAGTGTGTGTGTGGAGTAGTGATGCGGGATATATAGATCGTTACATCGATATCTGTTGACGTTGGTCGATTTTAAACATTGTTTTTTGTCTGATGAGTATCTACCAGGCATCCTTAATAAAACGTGATAATTTTACATTTAGTTTCCATCCATACTGCCTAAGCTTGAACCTGTTTGCATAGAAGAACAGACAAATTGAAATATTTAGGTTGAGCCCCTAAAACGCAAACAGTGTCCTTGGAAACGCATATAGGCAATTTACTCGGCACTTCCCTGCAGCTTGAGCTGTAAACAGTTTTGTTCCTTATCTGCTAATTTTGTAGTGCAAATGTGCAGCTATTGCTGACATATCAATACCGTGATCAAAATGTAGCTCATTGTTTCCTCGCTGTCCATCAGTGTGCATCAGGCAGCTGATGCTTTTGTTTTCCCCCTCCCCAGACTCTTTCTCTCCAGCCAGACATTGTAGCTGCTGCTGTGGAGTCTAAGTACAAGGATATTGATTCTGAGTCATTCATCAGGGGATCAAAGATTAAAGTGGATACTTTGGCCCCACCCCAACAGTTACTGTGCCAGCTCGCTTGTCGGTCTAACAGTTGTCGTCTGGAACATGCACATGGACTTTGTGTTTCAGTTTTGTTCTTGTGTTTTAGGTTTTATTTTGCTTTCACTTCTGTCCTAGCCCCCCTGCAGCCATAAATTTCAGTCTGCAGACATGCCCAAACACATCATGCTGAACGCCATCACAAAATGAAAGCAATAAAACTGCTGATCCGTCTTTTGATGTGTTTTGATTGATAATTAATCTTGTTTTCTGCAGAAATTCAACTCATCCTGGTTTTTTATTTCCACATTCTCAACTCTTCTTGTTTCTCTCTGTAGTCTAATCAGGGGGGCTTTAAGGAGTGCGTTCAGTATGTCCTTCCCCAGCTGATGAAGGTTCCAGTGTACCACTGTCTGCACTACTTTGAGCTACTACAGGTATGTACTCAGGATTGCTTTATTACCAATTAAGCTGGACTTTAAAATAGATATTAGGTTACAGATTCTCAGTGGTTTGATATTTATTAGCCCTCTGAGTTCAGAGAGATGTACAGTAGTATTAGACCCATCAAAATAAACCGATGAAGTGATTTTACTACTTAAAGTACTTCATATTCAGTTCTAATGGTTCTCTTAACAGCAACACTGACGCTAAATGATCTTATCGGAACCACCATTACAGAATATAGAGCTGCTACTTCAACTTATTACAACCTTAGTGTTACAGCTCAGCCCTGAGCTGCCTAATCTTGGACGGATTGATAAAAATAAAATATTTTCAGGTAGAAAGAATGACTTTCTCACCCAGCTTACAGATTTGTAAATTTTCATAGCTATGGTTCTTTTATGTTTATGCCAACCCAAAGCAAAACGTAGAAACCCTGAATGTGCAAAGCATGTTAGCAGAAAAAAAAGGAAAATTAAAAAGTAGGAATTTTTGTTCTGTTCCTTTTTTTTTAGTTATGTGAATGAAGTCTATGTTCTACAGTTTTGTTTATATGTCCTTAACAAAAAAAAAAAAGACTTAAAAGTTGGGTATGGATCTGGCTGTTTGTCACTAGCCTGACGTAGTCCGACTCAATTCTAGTCAGAATGAGTCTGATGCTGCTCCATAGAGCTGTGATTATGGGGCGTGTTTCGAACGAACCAGGAAAAAAAATGCCTCTGCACTCAATTGGATAGACCTACAACCAATAAGAGCAACGGAGTGCGTGACGTATGTTAAGCCACGCATAGTTGTTGTCAACAAAAATCAAAGCGTGCAGTTTCACGCCTAGAATAAGAAGATGAGCCTTGATCGCGTTTCTCTGTTCCTCTTTTAAAATTAATTTGCTGTCGATATCTTCTAGAACAGACCTAATAGCAGAATCTACTCACCTCAACTCTCCAGCGGCAGCCATTGTTGTTGTCACCCAAGCGCGCTTTGGTGACGTGGTTGATTACGTTACTGTTGGTCATCTGTCCATCATCGTTTAAAGCCCGCCCTGACAATTTGATTGGCCCGCCAGATATTGTGCTAGCATACTCGCGCTACTGTTGAGCAATGCCAGACCGAACTTCCCGACCTCAAACGTTGTGGGCGGGACTAAGTTCGAAATGGCACCCAGGCTAGTTTGTCACATGACCACCAGAGAATTTCAATGGATGTCCTATAATTTTCCTAAAGTTTCAAAATGAAAATAATATTAAATAAAAACATGATCAATGTCATAATGATTTTTTTTTTTTTTTTGCAGAGAAGTGAAAACCCTTCTCATTAAACCTGTTTGACGGCAATCTGGTGTCGGATTTTCTTTATTAAAACATTGATAATTGTGGAGGAAAAAATAAACTTTTTGGCAGTTTTTTTTTTTTTTTTTTTAGATTTTTTAGATTAGATTCAACTTTATTGTCATTACACAGGTACAGGTACAAGGCAACGAAATGCAGTTTAACCAGAAGTGCAATAGCAGCAGTGCAGAATAAATAATGGTTCCATAAATACAGGACATGGTTCTACTGAATGAGTATAGAGATGAATGCTGTTATAAATAATGAATATAATATATAGATCACTAGTGCTATGAACTATATTTACAGCTGGATATGTACTGAATATAATATACAGGTGGATATTACTATTTAAAAAAAAGGTTTTTACAATTATGTACAATAGCATAATATACAGATGGGTTTTACTATAAAATGAATAAATAAAGTTTGGACAGAAGCTATCTAAATTAAATTGCAGTGGAAGCTAATTGCATATTACAGTTAAAGTACGTTATTGCAGATGTAAATGTAAACAATTGGTGGGTGAATAAACAGTCGGCAGTGCGAATATAAGCAGTCAAAATGAGTAGTGCAAGATGCATATAAAGAGTTGTTACAATAGTAACAGTCAGGAGTGCAGGTGAACTTTACAGTCTTTAAAAAAAAAACAGAATAGCAAAATGTTGGTAGGTGTGAGGAAGGAGAGGAGAGGAGAGTCCAGCGGTTGTTTGCTGACATAAGTTGCCGGAGTTTTCTCTTTGTGGTGTAATTTCGTTTTCCTTTGGGATCAATAGTTTTTTTAACTAAATGCTCAGCAGGACAGCCTTGCTTAATCAAAACTGATGGATGTATTCGTTAATTTCCATTCCTTAAATTAGGTGTTTTAATGCTTTCAAAGACGTTTTTTTGGCACAACCTGGAGAATAAATGCGTTTTAAAATCGCTCTTTGCTCAGCAACTCAAACAGCTTTTTCACACAAGCATCATTGTTGTAGTTTGAAAACCAAAAGCTTCAGACTTACTGTTGCCTAAAACATGACTTTTTCTTTTTTTTTTCCCAGCAGAAATCCATAAGCATATTTTGACTAACAGTAAGGGTCTGATATTTATTCTTTTCTGACGTGTTTTACAGCAACTTCAGGAGCGTAGCGAAGATCAAGATGACAGGGAATGTCTGAAACAGGCGATAACAGCGTTGTTAAACCTGCAGTCCAGCGTGGAGCGGATATATGTGAAGCACCAGCCTCGCCGTAAACCTGTGTACGTTTTCACCTCCAGCATCACATCAATAACACATTAAAGCTTATTTCTGCTCATCAGCTAAACAGATTTATTGTTCACATCTTATAAAAACATCTTTTTCTCCCTTCAGTTCTACCAGGAATTGTGGTGTTTGGGATTTGCTCTTTCTGACGAATTGTACTTCTCCTTTCAGTGAGGCGATTTATCGCCGGTACAGCCGGCAGGTCCGCGGGAAGCAGCTCGCCATCAAGCGAATGATCGAGATCCAGAAAAGCATCGATGGCTGGGAGGGGAAAGACATCGGTCAGTGCTGCAACGAGTTCATTACTGAAGGGACGCTTGTACGAGCAGGTGCAAAGCACGAGAGACACAACTTCCTGTTCGACGGCCTCATGATTAGCTGCAAGGCCAATCAGAGCTCACGGCTCCCTGGTTCCGGTAGCGGAGCCGAATACCGCCTCAAAGAAAAGTTTGTGCTGAGGAAGATCCGCATTGTTGACCGTGAGGACTCCCCAGAGCTGCAGCATGCCTTCGAATTAATCTTCAAAGATGAAAACTCTGCGGTTTTCTGCGCAAGGACAGCAGAGGAGAAAGCGAACTGGATGGCAGCGCTGATGGCTCTTCAGTACCGCTCCACTTTGGATCGCATGTTGGACTCTATACTGCAGACCGAGGAGCAGCAGCGTCCTCTCAGACTCCCTTCCCCTGAGGTTTACCAGTTTGCTGTGCAGGATTCTGAGGAGAATATAGTGTTTGAGGACAGAGTGCAGAGTAAGACCGGTATCCCCATCATTAAGGCTGGCACGGTGGTCAAACTCATAGAAAGGCTCACCTACCATATGTATGCTGGTAAGCTGATGCAGTTAATTCACTCGAACAAACAAGCAATTGAGATCTCTATTGTAATATTTCTATTGGTGTTTTTTTTCTTTGATTTGTTTTAGATCCCAACTTTGTGCGCACGTTTCTCACCACCTATCGCTCCTTCTGCAAACCACAGGAGCTCCTCTCCCTTCTGATAGACAGGTACGGTTCACCATGGCAGATAGGGAGGAAACACCTGGTTTATTCTGCAGTTCTTATAGCACCGCATTGCAGAGCAGGTGAACGGAGCCGGGCGCCATGGCGCTCCCCGCTCAGGAGGATGGTCGCTCATTCGCTCCTCCGCTCAAAATTGCACCAGGCTAGAAATCTGTTCCACACTCACCTTAGTTTTACTGCCGCTCCAGCGAAATCGCTCCACACTCACTCACATTTTCAGGAGAAGACATTTTTTTCTTTGGTAATTCTGCCAGGGCTCTCAGACACACGGTGTTTCATTTAATGATGTGACCGATACAGGTTAATAGTTTCACAGCTGTGAACGTAACACCTCCATCCATTCATGTTGCCCCGCGTTTCCTATATAATTATTCATTTATTTTACTAGACGACATTAAAAAAGGTCACTTTACATCCCGTTGCAAACGAGATAATAGCATATAATGCATGTATGACATCCATTTTCAAAAACAGGCTCTAACCACAATGATCACTTTATGTAAACCCACTCTGTATTATTAAGTATAGAGAGTTCCTGTTTTTATGATATTTTCTCAAGTTTTGCACCGATAGTGATTAGGGGTGTAAATAATAATCGTTTTGTATCGATGCATCGATCCAAAAGCCGACGATCCGATGCATCGACACGTCCGCAAGATAATCGATTCATGTTTTTTTTTCCTCCGGTCTATTTTTATCCATTTGCTCCTGGGCGTAATTCTCCCTCCCGTGCTGCGGTGCCGCTAAACCTATTTTGCCCTCCTACCTCGCTTCCTGGTTATACTCTTACAGCAGTTTGTTGCAGTGAGCTTGATGCAGACATTTTTAATTATGCTCAGTATTGAAGCGTGGTCTGCGCTACACACTGTGGGTCTAGATACGGTCGAGGCGGCGAGGAAGTGGGGGCGAGTTTAGTCCGACGACGGAGGGACATGAGGGCCAAAAAGAGCAGAGATCCAGCTGGAAAAAGGGTCCCAGCGTTCTCGCGCACCTCGCTCTTCTAGCGGGTCAAACTTCACGAGTTGTTTTCCGCAATTTCGGTCATAAAAACAAAACAAGCCGGCCTCCTGTCTGCTGCACTGTTTGCGGTCAGCTACAATCTGGGAGAGGAGCAGCGGAGCGTCTCTCAAGGGGGCGGGGACGTCGACACTCTGAAGCCTTCTTCTTCTTCTTCTTTTTTTTAATGGCGGTTGGCAAACAACTTATAGGTGCATTACCGCCACCTTCCAGAATGGAGTATGGACCAGACAAACTATTATATTCTCCCTAAAATACCCGTTCTTCTTAGAAAATTAAAAATACTACCAAAAACTACATCCCCAGATGACCTTTGAAACAATTCCCTTATATCTAGTTTATTTTTATTCCTGTCTAACTCTCTACACAACATCTCTCTTTCCTGAGTATATTTATTACATTCTAAAAAAATATGTTGGACAGTTTCTCTGGAGCCGAGGTATTGCATTGAACTCATTGCACTGATATTGTGCAGTATTTTTGCAGTATTTTTTGATGCAACTTTTCTACTTCTGTTATTTGCTGTTGTTTCTAAAGAAAATGCATAATGATATTACAGCTTTCATTGATTTATTTCAAACTTGAATGTTTGTTTAGCCTGTAAGGTGTAAAAAAAATAATAATAAAAAAAAACAAAAAAAAACGATTAATCGATTAATCGAATCGAATCGTGGTGTATTCTTGAGTATCGAAAATAATCGAATCGTTGGGTCAGGAAATCGATACTGAATCGAATCGCCATGATGGATGTGATTTACACCCCTAATAGTGATACCAGTATCAGACGGGGCCCCAATCCAGTGGTGGTATCATATCGGCGAGTACCAACCAATAGGGCTCCGATACCATTTTGAGCCATTGGTCATCGGCCGATACTTCACAGCCAGGCATCGGGGGCCAAAAAAAAAAAAGCGTTGACGCAACACAAATTTTATCCCACTTTTTATCACACAATATTGCAATCCTTGTCTCGTAAAGTTGAAACATAGACTATAACGGATTATAGGCACAGACTACAGGTTTTAAGTCAAACAAGAATTTAAATAAAGTCGGAGCGAAATCCTGGCTCCGGCCTTTGAATTGAAAACCGCTCTGCACTCCACCATATTTCTTCCGCTCACATGCTCTGCCGCATTGCTGTATTTTGAGACTTGGACAGACATCTTACATCCACACAGCTATGCGAGATTCTCCCGCTATGCTTCCATATATTTTGCATTCATTTCTATATCCTAACTCTTAAGTATTACCAGTTCATACGGAAGCTAAACTAAATTCAAACCGAATTTGACCCAAACCTACAAGGAAAACCTTTCCTTCTAGAGTGTCCAGTCAGTGGTCTCCAAAAGTACCCATAAGTCCCAAAAACGTAGTATTATAAGATATACTACATGCTGTACCAATACATGGCCACACAGACAGTCTTAATGCCTGTTGAAAGTTTGCTGATGTAGCAATTATACATGAATTTTATTGGGTTTAGGTCTGTTTGATGAGTAAGTTTATTTAAAAACTTTAAAGTTTCATGTACATTTTGTATTTATCCCATAAATAACATCCAATTATATCATAGAAATGTGTTTAAAGTTTGTGATCAAGGTGACCAACCAGACATCTGAAAGAGGTTGCTTTGATCAGATGAGAATATTTTGCTCAAAATGTAAACTTCTAAAAACTAAAGATGCACTTTAACCCAAGCATTACAGCGTGGTGGCAGCATCATGCTGTGGGAATTCATGTCTTCTGCAGGGACTGGGCAGAGTTTTATAAACATAGCTGCCGAAGTCCAGATCTAAAGACAGTTGAGAATCTATAGCAAGAAAAGAAATGTTTGCAGAAATGCCTAATCTAATCTGACCGAGCTTCAGTAAACTACCAAAGAAGATTAGACGGTTAAATCTGCCTTCAGATTTGGAAAAACTGATAAACCCAAAAAAGGTCGAGCTTTAATCACAGTGAATGCTATGAATGTTCACCAGGTCATAGATTATTTTAAATTTTGGGGGAAAAAAATATATACATTTACACGACTATGCTAAATTTTGGGAATATTCCTCTGGTATTACTTCTTACTGTATTCTTGAAATTCTGATTATCACATGTTTTTTCTATCAGGATTAATATCCCTGAGTCAGGAAATGGCGACGATGAGGTGGCTATCTGGAACGGCGACCCGCCAACAACCGCCGAACTTCAGAGGTTCAGACGGGAATATGTGCAACCGGTCCAACTCAGGTATAGCAACCATCCAAGTTATTCTCATTTAATCCACAATTTCTCTATAAAAGGGAAAAGTATTGAAACCAATTTATATAGGTTAAAAAAGTCAATCAGAAATGAAGTTCATACTGATTTTAATGGTTTTGTCCTGGAGGATTTTGTCAGCTAAAAATAGCTTCAGTATGCCAATCTGATTAGGCGTTTTAAAATGGAAAACTGCCTGTTCTATCTTTAGTTTCTCTTTGTATTTGCACACATTAAAGAGAAGGAGACATGTCTGCTGGACTTTTCCTAACAGGACCCGCCTCCTTAGCAGCATTAAAACCTAAAAGCTTCCCGCTATCACAGAAAGTCTGCCTCTATAAGGATATAATCAAGAAAAAAATGGTTGTTCGTTTACAGTTAGGGCTCCAAGTGACCTATTAAAAACATCAACAGTGCATGTTCCTGCTATAAAACAGGATGATCCAGTAAAGTTAGACTATTTATTTATCTTATTTAGATATGGGCTAAAATAAGCAGCTGAAAAGGTGATTATTTCAGTTTTAGATTTAACTGAAGTGGTTTCCAAAGATTAAGCCCTGTCAGTTCTTGAATATTAAGTAAAAGCATATATTTATATTCAACCATAAAAATGTTGAGTAAAAACTTTATATTGTAAATTTGAAACTTTGCATAATCATTCCTCTACAGGGTTCTCAACGTTTTTCGCCAGTGGGTTGAACATCATTTCTACGACTTTGAAAACAATCCGGACCTGAGAGTTCAGCTGGAGGAATACATCACCCAAAAGCTTCAACTCCGAGGTCAGTCGAATTTACAGGGAAACGTCTGAACGCCGGGAAAGCAATTCCACGTAAAAGGACTAATCGGTATCACCTGCTGAAACGAGCACAGGTTTACCAGGGATTAAGTAAAAAATGTTTTTGCACGTTTGCTTTAAGAAAAGAACAACAGAAATCTCTAACTTGTATTAACCGGTGCAGCTTTTCCTGCGATACCATCCATCCACGTGATTTAGAACAGGTGTGATTGTAAACGTTACCGTGGTGACACAACATGGTGCAGTAAAATGACTCAGCATTTCAGTCCTTCTGTTTGTGAACCGAATATCTGGAGGATTTTTACTACCTTACAACTTGAAATATACATCCATGGAAAACGGGGGAAGGTCCATCCTACAGGCAAACAGCTGCTGTGCAGAATATGCTGCTGCCACTTGAATGGTAACATTGGGCTTCAAATAACAAGTTTCTTGCTAATCTGTCATATTTTTTTTATTAAAAATTAGATAGTAAAAGGCTCCTTAAAGATTTTTTACTAAATTAAACTGGTTCAAACAAAAAAAAAAATCTGGATAGAACATATTGATGGACCAAAAATATTTTTTCACCTGAAATGCAAAATATTTATACCTTTTTTTTTCACACAATTGTTATCACTATGAGTTGGTCGCTTTGTCAACTGAAGGCATGTTTTAGAGTCTCTCTGCTTTAGTTAATGATTATTCGATCACTTAATTAGTTGACGTTTTTTTCAATAACCGATTTATCACAATTAATCTAATTAATTCTTTCAGCCCAAATACACTTAGAAATATTACATTTAATCCAGGGTTCCTGCGGGTCCTTAAAAAGTCTTAAAAGGCATTGAATCCTTCAAAATAAAACCTAATTGGTATTAAAATGTCTTAAATCAGTCTTTCGTAGGTCTTAATTTTTAAAACATCATAAATAGGATTATTTTTAGTACGATTTATTTTTGTTATCTAAATAAAACGCTAAAATAGAATTATTATTTTTTTTTATAAAAAATAAAAATAAAAAACGGCTTGCCATTATTGGTTCCGTCCCGATAGCGGAACCAATAAAGCGTTGTTGCGGCCGGGACATTTGGGAGATGCAAACTTTAACTTTTTGTCTGGAAAATATGATCAAGTGTAAATGTAACCAAAATTGTCTCCAGCCAAGAGTTTTCTCCAT